AAAAATATACAAATTGTTAAAAAGATGCCTGCAAATATTCCTCTAACGAATAGAAAGTGTTTACCAGAAGTAAGTCCTTAACTGTTTTCTTAAATAGTACATAAATATTTGACTAACATAATTAGGTAATTTATTATACAAAGGAACGCATTGGGTAAGGAGCCTTGTCCACAATGATGAAGTGACGAACAGGGATCACCAAATCATTTCTGTAACGAAAATGGTAGCCACTTATTAAGGAAACATCATTTCTGCATATACAATTGCATCTATGTGGCTTTACATAAACAACACAACTGAAAATATACAGTGAAATTACAGTTAAAAGATTTAATTGTTTAAAAACTGGTCTACAGGAATCCAAGCGCCTTCTAAACGTCATGGTACCAATATTTTTTTTTTGAAGAACAAGCACCTCATTAATTGGCGAGCAATTTCTTTAACAAACTAAGCAATATTGCAAAATTGGCTGTACATGAGCAAAATAGTAACGTTTTAAGATATCTAAGGAAACAAAATTCCTATATTGCCATGTGATAAAACAGTGCACAGACAATCTTCCCACTACATAAGCAACGTGAGAGCTCCAAGACAAATTAAGATGCAGGTAAACACTTAACAACTTACTGGAGTGGCTATTTACGAATGACCCATTGTCAAGTTTGACTAATGGACTCATCTGCATAGTAGAAGGTGAAAAGGTTACCATATTATTCTTTGATCCATTTAAGATTAGGGCAATATTTAAACAGTAATGAGTCATACTTTTTACAAGACAATTTGCTTTTTGTACTACATGAAAAAAATTATTGGAATTTAGTGCAACTGTGGTATCGTCAGCAAATGGAGTGACATAACAACCTGATTGCTGTTCCTCGTTTTTTATTATACTCTAACGCTTATTACATCAGAAAAATTATCTAATGAATTCCGAACCAAACATGTTAAGCTATCGTTTATCAGTTGATTTAAATCATTGACGAAAATCAAAAATAAAAGAGAGCCAATGATACTTCCCTGTGGAACACCGAAGAGAACACTTTCTTCTGAAGAAAATATTATATTCCTATTGACATTGACCTTACTTTTTTGAAACCTTTTCGATAAAAAGGTGTGGATCCACTTTAACGAAGTTCCTTTAACACCACTGTGATAAAGTTTTCCAGCAGTATTGGATGATTTACAGTTTCAAAGTCAAAAAACAAACAGATAACTTTATTACCCTTATCAAAGTTTGACAAAATATGATTGCACTAGCGCTGTGCAATATGATTGCATAGCGCTAGTTTTTCAGCTTCATGTAACCCTTGGTTAATCAATATATTTTTTTGATCTATCCAACGGCTTGGAGATCTTTCCCTAGGTCTCTTTACTTCAACTCTACCCTCGACTATCGTACCTGTTCTTCTAGCAATATGTACAAAATACTGCAAATATCTCTGTTGTATTTGTTTAAGCAATCTATCCTTTACTTTAAGTTGTTCTAATATCGATACGTAAGTGCGATAATCAATCCAGGATATTCTCAACATGCGCCGGTATCTCATCCAAAACATTTCAAATGCGTCCAGTTTATTTTTATCCGCTTTGTTTAAGGTCCACGTTTCGGATGCATATGTCGCTATGGGAAAAAATGAGTGCCCTTACCAGCCTTAGTTTTGTGTGTATTGTTATGCTAGAATTTTTCCAAATTTAAACCAGTTTCATCATAGCTGTTCTAGCAATAGTCAACCTTCTACCTATCTCTCTGTCACACCCTCCATCATTTGTTATTAGGGACCCCAGGTATATAAAACTATTGACTACTTCAAAGCCTCCAGTTTCTTTAATCTGTTGAAGATTATTCCGAGCTCTGTCTACTATCATGATCTTTGTCTTACTCCTATTTAGCTTTAGTCCATATGTTTTGCTTTTTTCCTCTAGATATCTCATTATGTGTTCCATTTTTTTTTTGATTTGCCGCGATTATTAGTTTCATCAGCATATCTCAAGTTATTGATTTTTTGACCTCCTACTCATATTCCACCCTTTCATCCATCTAGTAGCTTTTGCATAATGTGTTCGCTGTAGATATTAAACAGAGTTGTCGAGATTATTCATCCCTGCCTGACACCTGCCTCTGTTCTGAAATGATCAGAATGGGTGTTGTTTATTATTACTGTGCACTTATTATTTTCCTATAGACTTCAAATTAGTTAAATTAAGTGGTGAGGTGTTCTTATTTCCCCTAGTATGGATCATAGCTGCTGCCATTTGACTTTATCGAAGGCCTTTCTGTAATCTACAAAGCACATAAGCATAGGTGTATTGGATTTATGAGTTTCTTCGATTAGCTGTCTGACATTAAGGATATGTTCTCTTGTGCCTTTTCCTGGGACAAATCCCGCTTGTTCTTCTGGTATCTTAGGCATTAGACAAGCTTTTAGTCTTTCATATATTACATAAAGTAGAACGTTGCTTGCATGGGATATTAGGGTTACCGTTCTGTAGTTGTTGCAATCTAGCGGAGTTCCTTTTTGAATATAGGAATGAAAGTGGATTTTGTCCAGTCGTTGGGCCACTCTCCGGTTTCCCAAATCTTTTTGCAGATCATATGCATAACATTTACTCCAACCTCTTCAGTGTCTTTTAAAACTTCTGCGGTGATCTGGCCTGCGCCAGGAGATTCTCTATTTTTCAACTTTTTGATTGCTTTTTCTACCTCTGACTTTAGAATGTTTGGTTCTCTCTCTGCAGTGAACGCATCGAGATTTGCATTCTGGGGATCATCTGCATATAGACCCTGACAATATTTTCTCTATACCTCCGCAATCCCTTTATACATTATGCACACTTATACATTTACAAAAACGAAATTGAGAGTTTTCTATAATGTTGTGCTTGTTAATATACGAGAGGAGACGTGTATGAAATGCCTTCTCATATATTTTTGAAAATACAGATAAAAGTGATAGGCCTCGATAGTTATCAAATTTTGATTTGTCACTTTTTTTATGTATAGGCACCTAAAGCAGTATTTAGAATTTGAGGAAAAATCCCTTTCTGAAATAAAAGGTTTACTAGAAATGTTAATTGTTTATATATGTTATGAGATACATGTAAAAACATAGAATGCGGGATCTCATCCAGTCCAGCAGAGGATTTTTTTGAGATATCTTTAATTATACTCTTTATTTCTTCATCACTAACAGGATAAAGAAAAAGGAAGTGTATAGACGAAGAAAGATTCTTAGGACTATAGTCAGGTGAAGATTGACTAATTAAATTTTTCACAGAATTCGGAAAATGTTGACTGAAATATTCTGCTATATCATGAGGGTCATCCACAGAAATTCCCAAATTATTTTAAAATTTACTTGGGTATTTGGAAGAGTTTCGATTTTTACCTTTGACAGTATTTCGATTTATGATGCGCTAAGCCTCAACCGTACAATTCTGTACTATTGTACTTGTACTATTCTGTGCATTTATCATTTTAATATTAAAATAAGTTTGCTTGGCTAACTTAACTTTGTATTCATAATTTTTTTTATAATGTTATACCGTATTCTGAGCTCATGACTTTCTGAATATTTTATAGATCTGAAAATGTCTCTAATAAAGTCTCCCTCATTTATTAAATTAGAACACAACCAGCCCTTATTTTTAGACTGTTTAGAAAATTATCTACTATCCACCGTTTGCAAAGGAAATGCTTTATCGAATAGTTCCAAAATTTTTTCATAAAATATGCAAAACTTGTTATCCGAGGATAGATGTGAGTTTAAAGAGCACCAATATTCCATAGAGAGCAATTGAGTAAAATAATATTAAGAGTGCTATTAAAATCACGTTTATAAACAATATTATCCCCCGAAAAAGAAGCGTTAAAGTTGTATTCAACTTTCTGTAAAAAATGATCACTTACATCGGTATAAACAACAGAACAAGATAAAAACTTAATATTTACATTGCAGAAAATATTATCAATCACAGTTTTAGAGTCATTATGTATTCTAGTATATTCAAAAATACATTAATTTAAACCATAAGAGGTAAAAAATTTTTAAATCTTAATGCATCTACATTGTGCACCTTTGGATCAAAATTTATATTGAAGTCACCACAGATGAAAATAATATTATTTTTGTTTAATATTTCTGATAACATTTCGTCCATTTTATATATGAAAGTTTGTGTATCTTTTGATGATCTGTAAAAACAGCAAACAGCTATAATGTTCTTTCATATAATTGTTATAATATAAATTTTCTAAATAAAAGCGTTCTGGAGTTATTAAAAAAAAACTATGACAAGGCGCCATCATCAAAGAGCTTTAGGAAGCATTTTCGGACTATGTGAATTGGGTTAAATCGTCTTAAAATTAGCTAAGTAATCTGCGGTTTTCGTTTGTCAGGAGAGTTTCTGAACACCTTGTATACTGGAATATAATTAAATTTTTGTAACATATTTTAAAGAACTTTGAAAAATTAAGGCACATATCGAGCACAAATTTAATAATCAAATCTTGCCCAAGTACTTATTGAATTTGATTATTAAATTTGTGCTCGATATTTGCCTTAATTTTTCAAAGTTTATTTATTCGAGCATTCAACCTTATATCAATTATATTATGAAGAATTAATTTCCAAAAATTGTTTTTGTACGGATTTGTTGTCTCTCCGGTATTGTAGTCACGGTAAAGTCAATTTGTTTAAGCCATTTTTTCTGTTGATTAAGTTACTTGTATGTACTGTATTCATTTCAAGATGAAATTATTCATTCAAAGAAATGCATATTTTTATTATGGTCATATCTTTGACTTTTTTTCATATTTGCCTAAGTCTACTGATCACTTTTAGTCAAATAAACTATGAAAAGTACAAAGTATCTTCTATAATAAAATGAAAAACGCTATACACTTTCAGAACATACGTTTAAGGAACAATATGTAAATTATGTAACGTTTAAAGGTCATCAAAGAAATCTTTTAAACAATTTTACAAACTTTCATGACTTACCTGTCCATTTCTGGAATAAATATTAATCTCCTCAGTGCATCTTCGAATAGCCTCGTTTTTCTCTGCATACTGGTCCAAATCAGATAATATTTCCTTTAGGGAGTTTCTGATGTTCCCGTCTTTAATTTCAGATTTATTTCCATTCTGTTGGCTATGTACAGGTGAAAACAGCGAATTAATATCTAACGGGGCTAACGGCTGGACTGGTGTGTAACCCAAAGTTTCAAATATATTTGACTGTGTAGTCGTAGATACTTCAGACGACAACCTCAGTTCTGGAAAATGTGGTATTTCTGTTACCTTTGGAACCTCCGAGATTTTTGGAACTTGTGGCATTCTAGGAGCTTCGTATAATTTGGGTAGCTCTGGTTTAGTATTTGATTCTTGTTCTATTGGTATTTCGTACTCTTTATTTTGTTGTTCAATGGCAGTTGGGGAATCTATCTTCAATTCAGGTATTACCAACTTCCTCTCACTTTGTGGTGCTATATTAGCTTGTTCATCTTGGTTGTGAGAATTTTCTGACTTTTGTAAACTGGAATTTGCTTGTTTTACTAGCTCAAAGGATTGGGGTAAATCAAACTGCAAAGGTGCAAATGGCTGCAGAGGTTCAAATGTTTTAATGGGTCCTACACGATCGTATCCTAAATTAGAAAGGGGAACTGAAGAGGCTTCTAAATTTGAGTCAGTAGTTTCTTGCTAAAAATTAATTTTGAGTTAGATTCCATACATTAAAACACATTTTATTCCTTCCGTTTTGAGCTTCAGAGAATAAGAAAATTGATACGTACTGTAAAAGTTTGAGTAAACCTTTAGTATGATATTAATAACTGTATTAAATATGTCAGATCACAAGATGAACCAGTATCTGAGAACTGTTAGTTTTTTTAATGAAGAATTTTTCACTTGTATATCTTGTATTTAAGTGAATTTATTATGTGAAACATTATTAAAAATTACAAGGGCTTGTAATATTTTTTATAGTTTTTTTTAATTCTCGTGGTCTTATACTACATACTTGTATTTTTTGTTTATTTTATTATTGTATAAACTCTCTCTTGGTTTATTCCACTAACCTCGGTTTTAAAAATATTTTAAAACCGATTCTCTGTAATTTTTCTCCCGTTTGCTTATTATTTCTCTTACTGGATGTTGATAACCAATCATTATGCTTTTAAGACATTATAGCACTATAAAACATGATCAACGTATACTAATTCCACAGGATAAAGACCTATGAATTATTTTTTATAATATCTACTATAATTAAACTGCCAACATTGAAGTAGGCAACCTCGGTATATTGAGAAATAAAGCAATTCCGCATGTTGTCAACCGAGTTAAAGAAAATAAACACATATTAATCACTGTTCATCTAAATAATATTAGATATGCTGACAACCCAGTACTTTATAGTTTAGACGTTTTAACAAAAAAATTATTTGGCGATTCCTTTCATACAAATATTACGTGTGACGACACAGTTCATTCCAGATTTGGTGCAGTTGTTTAACCGAGTAAAATTTTTTTAATTGCTCTTTCTATAAGCCAGTTACACAATTTCTTTCTTCCTACATTTTTCTTCCGTATTTAGCCAAGAGAAGGTGCTACATTAGTGCCTAGATTTTTCTGAAATTGTAAATTCTCCTTTATATAAGCGGAAAAACGTGATTAAATAATAAATTTAACCTTGTCCTCCAGGTCAGGCCAAAAATGACGCGCACACTCCATGCTATGGCATGCTGGACCAGCCATATAGTCTCTAATCAACATCCCGATGTATGAGCGGGAACACAAGATGCTCCATTACTCATACGCTTATGAAACGCACCTGATGCGTCATAAGGGTCTTCACAAAGTTACTTCTTTTCAACTTGTCTCGAGTGATATGTTGTTAATATTTCCTATCAGCCTCTCTTGGATAAATCTTGTGTCTTCCGACCCCGAATAGCTGTTAGGTTTCCGAGGGCAGACGGGTCACTATATTTCCTTCCACCTTATAAACTTTAGTGTGGCGAGTCATTCAGTTTGATTAGTCGTTCACCAAGTGATTGCCTGTATAAGCAATCCCCCACTTACTGACCAACGGCTTCGGGCAGATGAATTGGTAAATGGTAGGGCACCCTTTTGTCCTGAGGTTGTAAAATCGGCCTCGAAGGTGGATGAACCAAAGATTTGATCAACGGCATAAGGATAAAGAAGCACAAGTAATTCAAACACTCCATTAAAGATCTACAGCGATACGTCCTAGTTAATTAATCATGGCAATGGTTAATGGGAAGACAGTGTTAAATTTACCAAAAGATAAAGATAAAGTGAAGTGTAGAAAGAATATCAAGATTTGCACATGGAATGTCAAAACTTTGTACAAAGCAGAAAACTTCCACAAGGCAATACAGGAGATGAAGAGAATACATATTGAAATCATGAGAATAGCAGAAATGAGATGGCCAGATTCTGGAGGAGTATAAATAGAAGATCACAAGGTATATTACTCGGGAAAAAGTGACGGATCACATGAATATGGATTTGAAATAATCGTATCACACAAGGTTGCCAAATGCGTTACTAACTTTACACGAATATCAGAGAGAGTAATGTTACTGCAAGTAGAAGCCAACCCCATTAATATAAACATCATCCAGGTGTATGCTCCCACTGCAGACAACGAGAACGAAAAACAATTGAGTTATATGAGAATATCAACAGTATTATACATAAAATTTCTCGATAGGAAGTTCTCATTATTATGGGCGACTTTAATGCCAAGATTGGAGCTGAAGATCAGACACAGTACATTGGAGCACATGAAATTGGAGTCAGAAACGAGAGAAGAGACCTCCTAAAAAAATTCGCAGAAGACTTTGAACTAGTTGTCACCAATATATTTTTTTCAATTAGCATCTCGAAAGCTGTACACGCAGAAATCCCCTCAAGACAGACCGGGAGAATTATTAAGAATTAATTAGACTACATTTTAGTAAATAAAAGTTCCTAAACAGCTTTATATATGTCAAGACTTATCTTGGAGCAGCCATCCTGCGAAGAAAAATATTTGGAAAACGAGGTCCAGGAAGAAGAAAAACATCTTGGTTAAAGAACCTCAGAACTGCCTTTCCGCGCCATGTTGATAAGATAAGCAACAGATAGGCACATCAAGAAGAAGAAGATCTTGTCCTGCTGTAGAAAAGTTTTGCACTTTTGCAAGTTATTTGTATTACGATCTCTCAAAAAAAGTTTTGATATGAAATAAAGTAAGGGTTGCTAATTTCACTCACGTATTATTATCACGAAAATTACAATAATTGCAAGTTTCTAGCTTTACTGATATTTAAAAAAATAAATAAAAATTCAGTTTTACTCATCACTTTTTAAGGGTGCTGGTCACCACATTTTTTAGGCCACCCACTAAAGAAACTTTTGTTACAATTTTGTTATAGGAACGACCCATCTTAATTTCATACGAGCAATAATGATTTTAGAAACACCCTGTATAATTATTGTAGACGACAATGAGTTTCAGAAAATATGTAATAAACTTTATAAAAATTATATTTTTAATATTTCTATCACTATGCACTCTAATAAACATAATTAATGTTTATGATAGTGCAAGATTTATTATCTTCACGGTTTTACTCTAATTATTTCTTTGATCGTTTAATGGAGAACAAAACTCTCGTATTTCTTTCTATCCTTTTGATTTCTTCACTATAACTATTAATCTAGTCCACTTTACCATTCTCGATTTTCCTTTTAAGATATGCCTTTAGTTTCTTACTGTTTAAACTTGCTTCTCTGCTATTATGTATAATTTACTCTTTTTATCGTTTTAATATTAAGTTATTATTTTCGTTTTAACCTTATAGACCATAGAAATGAGATTTTTTTCATGGTACTGCACCGGCCAGGCAAACGACAGATATTTTAAGTAGTATGGATCTCTATTATAAAATCTATATGTTCACTGTATGATAACAGTAAATTTTCACTTTTTCTCATATCAGCAGAAAAAAAGAAACATTTGAAACAAATTTAGGTCTTCTTATGAAACTCAAACTTATTAGTTATTTAAAAAACTTTAGAATGCCGTTTTTTAAATGTTTTCATCCTTATTTGTTGCTTAGAAAGTTGCAAAATAAGACAGAAATTTAGGTTTTTTATAATTATTAATAACTTTTTTAAAAATGAATTAAGAACCTTTATATAACATGTTGGTATATAAAAAGTGTATTCTCGACTATGAGCTGTGTTTAAGAGTCATGACCTCACCCTAGAAACAAAAATAAGGCTCCTTAAATGTTATGTGTACTCAATGCTTCTGTACGGAGTAAAAACATGGACATTGAAGGCGGAAACGCTATGCAAACTTCAGGTTTTGAGCTGTGGCTATACAGAAGAATCCTGAAGATACCATGAACAGACAAAGTCACCAATGAAGAAGTACTGCGGAGGATGAACACAACTGCGGATTTGGTCAACATCGTAAAGGGCCGTAAGCTGCAGTACATGGGACATATAATGAGAAATAAAGTTAGATATGAGCTACTTTAATGCATTTTGCAAAGTAAAATTGAAAAAACCGCAGGACGAAGCAGAATATCCTGGCTTGCTAACCTGAGAGCATGGTATAGAAAGACCTCAACACAGCTATTTCGTATAACAACCAACAAAGTCATCATAGCCAGAATGATCGCCAACGTTCGGAATGGACAGGCACCCCAAGAAGAAGATATAAAAGGGAATGTTGGGTTTTATAGTGCTTAAAATATGATCAAAATTTTAAAGCTATTGGTAAAATATACTTTTTAGAAGTTATGTTATTAGTTGATCCAAAATTAATTTTTTTTTTGTAAGAATATAAGTAAGAACATGTTGAAGTTACAGTAATTCTACGGATAGCTCATGAAAGAAGAAGGATCATTCTATGAACTTTATTAAAAAAATGTATAGAAACATAATTTTAAATAATTTCAATAATTTTTAACTGTTGCCTGCAAAAAAATAAATTTTTCATGTTTGTATAGCTTGCATTTTTCTACAAATTTAAAAAAGAAAAAGCGTATTTTAAAATTTAAAAGGTTAATTCATAGTGGTTGGCTGTATATTGTAGTTTAAAAAAAATTTAATGAAGAACAAATTTTTTTTTGTAAAATGGAAAAAAGTTTTTATAAAAGTTTTTAAAATTATCCAAAATGGATTTATAAATTTTTAGAAAGTCTTTGATCCTATCAGATCATCATCAGTGAAAACACTACAGATAAGTATGACCACTTAAAAAATAAAACAAAAGGGTAAAATTTTGACTGTTAAATTGAAAATATGGGTAATACTTATATGCCTATAAAGTAGTTGGAACTATCCACATAATGAGGTCAGATGACCCTTAAATTACATAATTTGAGTAACTAACATTATAATTCTTAGGACACTGGGATTATATAGTCGATAATAAAGGATTACATTTTTTAAGGAAACGTACAATTTTTCAGCTCAAAAAAGTGGATCTTATGTCCTAAGAGGTAACAACTAACTCTTGACAGAAGTAAGTAAAAATATGAACCATATTTTAAAGTTTTAATGTTCAAAATTTAAAGTAGATTACCCAAATTACAAATTTGTATTATTTAAATACACAAATTGTTATATAAACCATTTAATTTAACTAAACCTTTTTTACAATTTTCTTATTTCTTTTT